CGTATTGAGTCACTAATGCTACTGCATAAGAATAAAACTTTCGTCGGACATGATAACGAAATTGAAAGAATAGGAGCTCAGGAGAATGCCTTAAGAGAACCCATAACTCTTATGGTCTTAGACTTTCTTGTTACAAAAGATTTGGAAATTGAGTGTTTGCCCAACAATATCTTTAAGAAAGAGTGCAAATGCCACCGTCTGAATAATCAAACTTTATTTTGCTGCTACTATGTTTTATTTTGTTGTTTGATTTTGTTGCTACATAAGTTTGAAGGTGGTGTATATGTATGTTGTAATGTAGTGTATGTAGGGCTAGCCTAACTGAATTAATTCGCTATGTTCCCATTTACTTGACCATGGAGGTGTCCAGCTTTAGTCACGTCGAATTTTTTTTTTCATGGCTTAATATATTTTTTTAAATTTTTATTACTATCATTCATTTACTATTTAAAATGTATGCAAATGCACTTTATAAATGGAATGAAATGAAAAAGTGAATTATATTACATCTAAAATAAAAATGATAGAAAATCGTTCAAATAATATGGTCGATAACAGCCCACTAAAGGCGAATTGTAACTGCAGTTTCACTCGTGTTAAACTCAGCGCTTGATCAACGGCACAAAACGATTCCAAACCGTAACTTCATTTTAATCGAAATTGAGAAACGTTCGCTATTTTCTTACCATTACTTTATATTTTTTGTCTCCTTTTTTTTTTGTTTTGCTATGTATATTGCCATACTGTAGGCTTAAAATTACCTGCCAGGTTTTACTTCAATGTGGTGATCCCTACGATTGTTCTAATAATAATAATAATAATAATAATAATAATAATAATGATGATGATGATGATACTGATACTGATACTGATACTGATACTAATAATAAATAATATTTATGAAGGAAGCTCCCTTCACATTGCGTGGTAAAAAATAAAAACTAATCACGATCAAACCCAAGTACTAATAACAAATGAAAGTAAACTTGAAAATCACTTTTAAAATTTAAACCTATCAAGTAACGACGTTCTAAAAAATTAAAAGGAAGCTTTTTTATGTCTATAGGCAGGGCATTCCAATCGGGTAAAGCACTATTTACTGATCTGAGCAAACCCCTGTTACTACCTGATTTAATGGATCGAATAGTGTCTTTTGAGCGAGTGTTATGACTATGGTAATCTACACCTCACATAATCATATTGTTTCTGTCGTTTAGTTCTCAGTACACGTATATCAAAGGGTACTCGGAATAAGATTAGTTCTATTTCAGAAATTCCATACAAAGATGCCAATCGTATTTAACTTTTATCGTCTGTTTGTAACTTAATTGACACCTGCTATATTCCGTCCCTTCGAAGCTTTCAAATAATATTTTCCACAAAATTAATCATTTCTTTAAAACTAATCAGATTTAAGCATAAATCTTTATTTTTTTTCTTACAATACATCTAGGTATTGTCTTTCCGTAACTTACATTGACATCTGCTACAGTTTGCAACTGCTAAGCTTTCAAATACTATGTTCGATAAAATTAGTAACACCCATCTTACCGATAAGAGACGACTTTCTGGCAGGTGGAAAACCGTGGAAGTCAAATCATAGTAGCTGAATATCCTCAGATAATATACATTGCGAATCATATAGAATTTCAGCAATCTGTGTCAACTGAATGGCAGTAGTTTGACGTGTTGTCTAGCTGTAACTGTAGAATAATTGT